CACTGGGCGTCTCACCACCAGCTTGAGCAGAGCCAGGGCTATAGCACAGCACATGCAAATCTCACCCATGTTCTTGTCCTGATGAGTCCAAGAAGTGCTTTTTCACCACAGCTGTGTTGTAACACATTCACGCTTCTTTCACACGCATTTAGATGCCTTGTACCACAAGTGTCGGAGTCATTAAATTCACAGAGTACAGTTGTTTTTCCCTTCTTGGCTTGCAATATCTCAAAGTTGAACCTGTTAACCTAACACTGAAGGAGAAAAACTGTGCTTAAGAAAAAAATTGTTTTTCAGCTCTGGAGGTCTGTTTTGATGATGTCCCTGGTGTACAAATATAAATAAATCCATAAAGTAATTTGACTTTTAATTCTTACTTGGATTATGGAAATATTTGTATTGCATGGCTGCCAGGCTGAATTACAAAGGGTTTCGAAGGTCCAGTTTTCATTCTTATGAGCAAAAGAAATATAAAAGTGATGGTTTACAAAAACATGGCACTTATCAGATGGCGATTTGCTCAGGACTGAGCAATATGCCAAAGCCCTGTTTGCCATCATGGCAGAGCAAGGCTGAGCTTTGGGCCTGGTGAGCTGTGGTTGAGCATTTGGAGCTCCCACTGTCCCCAGTACGGGCAGCAAACGAACTGTTGAGACAGCTGAGAAGGAGGGAAATGTCAAGTTGGGCTTTTTTTTCCCATAATATCTGCAAAGAAGAGGGACACGAATAAGGAAAGAGTTTATTTCTGTATCTGAAAATAGATGCTTAAAAATAGATCTGTGTGTCATATTTGAAAGTCTAAGAAGATGGTGGGTTTAGGTTCTCTCCGAAGGAAGAAAAAGGCCAGAAGAAAGGGAGGGTTCCTCACAAACAGCAAAGACATTCCTGAAGCAGAAAGGGTTAAGTTTATTCATAGTGTTAAATACTTTGGTTTCAGTCATCACGTTAAGGAGGAAATCACGCCAAGGAGATTCTTAATATAAGCTTTTTTTTTTAAGAAAGGGAGAAAAAGGTGAAAGACAGCGCATGGTATCGGAGTCTAATAGACAGCATAAATCTGCATCATCTGCAGAAGTTTGTCATGGAAGGATTTACTCTGTGCTGTACTGTCCAACAGTTCTGCCAACGCAGGCTCTGAGCTTCAAGCTCGTGTAGATGACAGATTGTGGCAATTATGGCAGAAACTCATCATTAGCATCAGCCGTTTCATGCTTTTAAGAAAATGAACAGCTCTTTCATTTGTTTGAAAATAGCAATCTTGAGAATGCGCTCCGCTTTAGGAGTTAAACTGGTGATGGATTTTTTCTCAGGAAAGGATCATCTTACAGTTTCTCAAGTTGTGAGTGTTACTGGCTCGATGTAATGTGTCTTTTTTTCTTATTATTCCTCTTCTTTTCTTCTTTTTTTTTGCCTCTTCCAGAGGAGAAAGGTTGCCAACTGATTAATATTTTAAACATGTAGACAACCTGCAGACCTTGCTCCCAGACTCGGATTTCTCCCTTATCCCTCCCGAAAAAACGGTTTCACTGCTAGAATTTTGTGCTCCCAGGTGAAACACGATTATTTATTCACTTTATTTCCCCAAAATGAAGCACAAATAATAATAGGCAGAGTTCGGCAAACAGAACAATATCGCATGTAATCTCTGTGGAGTTTGGTTAGGATTTCTGCTTCTCACTTAAAATTTTGTGGGTCAGCCTTATGATGTGGGCAATGAATGGGAAAATACACTGCATTTCAGGAACTGAATTTTATATGTCCTTAAAGAAGAGGCTGGCAACGCTTGGAGCAGCAAAGTGTGAGATGCCAATTTAAGAGGCCCCGCAGAGCAAGCCGTCATGCGCTGTTGTAGGCTCCTCCGGATGATTTATTGGGATTTATTTATATTTATTATTCAGATGAGGATTTAAATATTCCACATTCTAATTTGAAAGCGTAAGTTGAGAAGCTGAAAGTTGGCTGTGAGATAAGGAAGATGAAGGAGCTGAACGAGGACCTCTTGGAGGCCCCTCGGTCCCAGCCAAGCCCCAGGTCCCAGTGGCAGTGGTGTGGGCAGGCTCTGCTGTGGGGCAGGCCTGGGTTGCCTCCCATGCAGCCTTCCTGCATGTCAAGAGCCCGCTTTAACACCTACTTACTCAACGCAAATCTGGAGCGCTCCATCTGCACCAGAATTGCACCGGCAAAACTGAGACCGTGAAGGTTTAGTGATAAAACATCTCGCTCTGAAAAAGCTGCTCCGTGTTCCTACTCTCCATTGGGCCCCATTCTTCTCCAATCATGTATTTTTTATAGTGGGGCTCCTTTTGCTTCGTGCCTACATGACCATTGCAAAAACCTTTGGACCACTTTAAATAAGAGTCAAAACCAACTCTAAATTTTGACCATTCAGTGTTACTTTCCTCCTCTCTCTCATCCCACATACCTTGTGAAATGCAGGACGGACTCTGATCTTGCATCCGTGACACAGGAAATAACACAGAATATGGTAGACATGGCAGATAGGGGCGTCCATTTGTTTCAAAGGCAGCAGAAAATTGAAAATGTGGGTTATTCCGAGTCCTGCCAGGGTGCAAGCAGCACCAGATACACTGCATGTGTGCCTTCAGGCTGGTTTATCCTCTACTGGTGAATGCCAGGTGGGTGTGTGGCACAGAAAAGCAAGCTGAAAGATGCTCTTCTCTAGAAAGAGTTAAACCTAAGCAGACTAGAAGGAGTGCGGTCTACAAAAACACGTTTGTGCCAAACTAGGAGCTTGTTGCTTGTTGAGAATTTCTCCATGGCTTTTGGCTTCTTGTGGCCTTTCCTTCTTGCTCCCCTGTGATACTGAGTTTTCACCTGTCAGCTTCAGTGAGATCAGGAATGTTTTAGAGGCCTTCAACCTGGGCCTACCTGAAACGTTCAGCTGTAATCATGCTAGATAAGTGCTCGTTTTACCAGTAAAATCTGCATCTTAAATATTTGCAGAGATGCACGCATCTGTTGTAAAACTGCAGATGTGTGTCTCTGCAGATATATATACTTCAGTGTGATATATTATGTTTTATAATTAAAATTTTATTGAATTTTAATATAAAAACAAATTCATACATTAAAAATTAAGTAGAGAACAAACATGTGTGGTGTCAGGAGGATACAAGCTGCGGTACGGTAGGACAACAACATCTGACCCATAAAAAACACCCTGCTTTAGTTATAAAATACCTTTGTGGCTAGGAGATTAGTGTGATATATTATTGAGATTCCAATATTTGGAGAAATAATACCGTTTTGTTACTTCCATTCGTGAGTAAAGAAGCAACTGTTAACGCCATTAAGCGTTCAAAAGCAAATGGGTTCAGGCAGAGCAGGCATGGTCTCCCCACAAGAAAAAGTGCTGTTATTTATGAGGCACAGTTAGTCCTGGTGAGAAGGCTAAGTACTTATTTTTCATAGTACCACAGAGTCGTTCATGTTGGAAAAGCTCTCTGAGACCCCCCAACCCCAGCCCACCTACACCGTGCCCACTGCCCACATACCTCAGTGCCACTTGGTCATGATTCTGGAACACCTCCAGGGATGGGGAGCCTCCCAGCTCCTGGGCAGCCTGATGCAGTGCTTGATACAACCCCGTCCTTGGGATGCTGGAGTCATGTGAGCAGGTGAGTTTTTGAATCTGGGAGTAACGAAGCTGTGGCTTGCGATGCCACGAGGGGCTCTCAAGAATGTCAAGGTAGGTGCTGGTGTTGCAGAAAGCAATTTAATTCACTTTAGAACAGGTGACAAGTGTACCCTGAAGTGCTCAGAATTCTTTTCTATTGTGATTTATTGTTCTGGAGACAAATCTATGGTATGGAGAAAATGAACGACCCACCTCTTGGAGACAAGAGTGAGAACCAGATGACTCCTACCCACCAAGTCCAAGTGATTGGCAGCACATTGCATTCCCTTTTTTGAAAGGTGTGTAGCCCACTGATAAAAGTGTATAGGACGCATGCAAATACAGGAGAGAAAATAGCACTGAGGTATTTGAATGCTGTTACATAAAGGGGTGATGTGCCTTTGCCTTGAACGCTGTCTTCATTTCCATTTCAAAAATGATACAGCTGAAATATAAAAGTTCAGAGACAGTTGATGGAAATGATTAGACACAGAGCGAGATTCGTGCATGATGGGAGGCTGTCAGGATCGGAAGATGAGTTATGTGGCTAACAAGAATGAAAACGGTGAAGAGATATCAAATAATGAGTAGCACTCTGGAAATTGTTGAGGATGGCCTTTTTTCTCCCTTTTTGCCGATGCAAGAACACAGGAACGGCCAAAGGAAGTGACAGGGACCATGTCTCAGGCTGATAAAAGGAGAAAGATGCTTTAGGATGGATGTGAGATGCATTGCTACAAGATTTCCAGAAGTTTGGGGGTCAGGGGTTTAAAAGTGAGCCATTAGAGACTTGGCTAGCAATGCTTGCCTTTGATAAGCTAGGAGTGTACAATCTCATCATCCGTGAGCTGCCAGGAATGAGGGAGGTGTTTCCCAGCGTCTTTGCAGGATCACCTGGATCTTCCCCAATGCTATTTCTGTCTGTCTGACTTGGACCTTCCCCACACCACCAGCCCTCCCATCTCCTGCTCTGTCTTCAAAGGAGAAAACAGGTCCGTTTCCTCTTGAAAGCTACTTGGCTTTCATTTATTTCACTTTTGAATCTGTTCCACGATCCTCTCAGCATCATTATTTTCCCTTCTCATCTGAGAAAGTTCTGCAAATAAATAAACAGCAATATTTGGGGTCCTCACAGATCAGCAGAGATGAGCGTACCTTTACTGCAGAACTGAGGGCAAGAGCCTTTCTGAAGACCACATGCGAGTACCATTGCTCACACAGATGTCTCTAAGTATAATGTGCACTGCAGGTGATGGGGCCTTCAACTTTTAACACACTTCTCTGCTTAAGCTATTCAGGGCTCACACTTAAAAAGTGATCCACAGCTGCTGCAAATTGATTTATCTCCTGATGACTGTCGGTTGCTGACTGAGTTGCTCGAGAGAAGGAGTTCCTTGGTTCAGGTATTCCTTTCCTTATTACTTTTTCATTTTTACCCTGGCTTTATTTTACTTGTGGCTTATGATTAATGCAAAGTTGCAAGTTTAATGTTTATTACAATATGTATGTCACTGCCATTGGGCAAAACCAGTGTTTTTTTCTTGTTTCCTAAATGGAGAGAAAAAGGACTTTGAAAGGGGATGCTGAGACATCCCAGTACTGTAGACATCTTTTTAGTGGCACCTTGTCATTTGTGCTCTTGCTGAAAAGGTGGTTTTCAGAATGGAAACAGCATGTTTACTCAGCCTGTGGGAAGATGATGGCTTCTATCTGATGAGAATGCAGTATTTTCCTCCACTCATGCATTGACTTTGCTAATCTGCAGGCTCACCAATACATCTCCACACGCAGCTGAGCTATGTACCATTTACAGCTTGCATAAAGCGTTGTGGCCCATCCAGCATAAATCTGTGATGAAAGATTGCGTTATACCCAGAGAATCTGTAGCTCTCTCGAATGATCACCTTATGATTGTGTGTACAAAGATCATACTCCTTGCTTGTATTTGGTTTGGAAAAAAAAAAAAATTCGCCTTCAGAAATGATTAATAGTGAGTGTCAGTGATTTGTTTCAGAGAGGGACTGTCTTCATGCTATCGCCTGTCCCCATAACTCAGCAGGAGGATATTGATTACACACACACTTAACTATACTAGCAATTATTTCACTAGAAAGGACAGACAAAAAGAAAGGAAAACCCATGTTTCAGAATCAGATATTTGTAGATATTTAAGAAACCTACAGCCAAAGAATATGTAGACAAAGCAGACCAAAAAAAACCTAATTTTTGTGCTGAATGTGCTTGAGATTGAATACTGTTAACACAGTTTTACCACCAAATTGTGCAAATTAACACAGAAATGTAGTGAACTCATGCAACTCAAGAAGTCTTTGTTCACATTCAGGAGCTTGAAGGCATAGGATGGACACCAAGGCCTGGGACATGACCATGGAGCAGCAGGCAGGGACTGTGTGTTTGCTGCCTCCTCACCATTTCATCCATCCTCTGCAATTTCTCATTTTTTTTTTTTTTTTTTTCCCTATCTATCTTCCCATTTGGGTATTTATTTCTTTTTTTCTATATCCTGGTTGGACGCCACTATTTGTAGAAGATGCTACCAGCATTTTATTGCATTTTCTAAGTTGATCTAACATTGGGCAAACTGCTTTTTCCCATGGGAGCTGCCACAGCCAGGGCCAGCTTCTTTGTGTCCTTGTGCTGTCTGACTGGGAATAGGGAAAGGGAAAACGATCGCCTGTGCCGTGCCTGTGCTCCTGCTCTGACCCAGGGGTTCCCTTGGCTTTCAGGAGATCTGCCTCGCTGGCTCGGGCTGAGCTCTGGCTGTCTTAAATCAGGTCTGAGAAAAACCCTGCTGAGCTAGTGAGAGCCCTAAAGAAAAAGAAGATTGTTAATAGAAAATAACAACCTTTATGCAGTGCTGTTATACCAGACTGTAAAATTTAATCGAGGGTTTTATCTTACTGTAGAAATTTGGTTTTTTTTTTTCAATTGTTTTTTTTTTATTATTATTATTTTTTAATACAGATTCCAGGTAAGATTATCATTTATATTCAGTTGGCTTGGTGTGGTTTCTTGTTTGTTTCTTTTAAAACAATGCCTATAGGAATTATCCATACTTTATTTAGATGCGTTAAGGAGTTGCATCTATTGAATGCTACAGGGCTCTTCCAAAGTCATTTTTTTTCTCAAAGGCTTTAGAAACAAAACATGACCCTGTGGGAAGTCGCTTTTCTCACGTCTTACCTGACGATGTCTTGGAAAAGATATCCTGGGCCGTGTTTGTGTGTTGTTCCCTTCCTTTGAGATGGGGACCTGCACCCCTACCTGGTGCTTCCTTTAACTGAGCAGGTAGGGTCATCACCTCCATTGGCACTGAGTGCAGGTGATAAAGCTGGCTGTGAGTCCCAGGGGTTGGCCTGAGCACCTGTGTGCTTTGCAACACTTTGAGGCATTTTTGATGATTCTGAGGATGAGTGCAATCAGCTTTTTGACGGAAAATAAATAAAGATGGTGGATTTTGCCTTTCGCACATTTGTTTTCCCCTCTTTCATGAGGGACTGCATCCTGTTTATGATTTTCTCAGGAGTTGGAGCGTTCCTCACGCTTGGTGACAAATTCTCCCCTCTAGGCAGTACAAGAAGGAACAAAAGGAGAAAAGCAAAGATAGTGGGAACCTGGAAATGGGCAGTGAGTCTGCAGGGAAGGGAAAGCCCTCAGGATGCCCAGCGGTTTGGGTTGGTTTCTGACTGTTTATTTACGCAATTAGAGCATGTAATTCCACAGCAAAATAAACAGTGGCAGCAAAGGGGAAATCACAGCAAAGCACTGCTGAACAGATTGGTTATTGAAGACTAGAGGAAAGCCCTGGGAGCTGTCAGGGTTGTGAGGTCAGAATGGCCATTCTTCCCAAGTGGTCTTTAGGGGTATTCTTGAGTAGAGCCAGGCACCAGGGATGGAGGAGACCTGTGCACAGTTTCAAGAACATAATCCAATGATATGCAATACAAGCCATGCTCGTTCCCTTTGTTTTAAACTCCATAGTTGCTCAATATTTGATGTCTTGTGTCCTTTCCCACATGGACGGTCTTGTCATTTCAGTGCTTCAAATGATTCCAAGGGGTCGGTTACAGAAGGATGGGTATTACTGCTATCGGCTTGGAGCTGACGTGGTAGCATTTGGAGATAGACTTTTGCTTCAGGACAGAAGAGAAAACACTTAGGGCAGCACAAGTGGTGCCTGGAGTATGCAAGAGAGAAAAAGATTACGTAAAAGGCAAAATTCAAGTCGAACAAAAAGTTTCCCTGCATAGCCAAATTAAATGTGAGGTTATTAAGGTCAAAGAAAAGTTTTGTTTCTACAACTATGCAGCTGATTATAGTTGGAAAAAAAAATTGTGTCTTTCTTTCTGAGGCCTCATGAATGCAATCCGCCGCTCCTGCAGAAGGTCAGTCATCAGGAACTGATCCAGGTTGATAGAGGCATGTCCCTGGCATGCTGTACAAATAATTTCAGTAACGTTATATATGACCAGTGGGAATGAGGATGTTCCAGCTTTCTGTCTCTGTGCGTATTTCTATCATGACCATCAGTGCTGTATCTGGTGTGTGAGATCTAATCAAGTGCATTGCATTAAAGCAAGGAAATAGGGTGAGCAATGGCCTGGCCAGCAGGGCGTACCCAGGCAATCAGAGCACCCGGTCACTCCACACCGGGACTTGATAAACTGCAAGAAGTGGAGAAATGGGATTTTTTCCTTCCACACCGCCTAGGCAAAGCCTTTGTGTGTTCAAGGCCACAGAGCGTCATGCAGGTGAAAGGATGATAGGGCTAGGTTCTGCAGAAATAAATATCTCAAAAATGATGGAGAAAAATCTCATAGATATGAGTACAGAAAGTAAGCAAAGAGCGAGGTGGAAAAGAAAGTGTGTTTTTCTAGCATTGAATTGCCAGAAATAGATGGAGTACAGGAAACAAGATGACAAGGAGCTGTGGAGGTTTGGACATCTGGTGTTGCTTACAAAAACTATAAATGAGAAAGGATTTAAAGAAAGCAAAACCCACGATTCTCATTGTCATAAATGAAACCAGTTCTAATGAGCTTGGTTCAGGCATTGAGTCCCCCAGTCCGTGGTGAATTTGAGTGGAAGGAGCTGCCGGTGTGACTGGGAGACTGTGGGCAGACACAGGATGGGCTATGGGACTTGTCTGGGTGTGAGACCTGTGCCCCTTTGTTGGGTCTGCAGAGGGCACCTTTCCTAACGCTAAGCAGAGGCAATACGTATTTAATGACCTACATTCATTTAAGAAAGAGAACTACTGATTTATATATTCAGGTCAATAGCACTTTCCCCAGGTTTCAATAATCGGATCAATTATCTGAATCCAATAAAATCTTATTAAAGAAATTCAGAATTATCTTTAAAATAGCTGGCCTTGTAGTCCCTGAGTAGGTTACAAAAACTGCTATGAAGAATTACTGTGACCTACTTTCTGGGAGGTACAGCTATCATTATCATATCAGAGGTGCAGCCCGATAAGGCTACATGACTTCCATCTTCTTGAAGGTAGTTTGGGAAAGAATGAGCAAGAAACCTTAATCTAGGTCCCCAGATTAATTTTATTTTCATAAATATGTGTTAAAATTAGGAAAGTCACAATCTTGTCTGTGCAAAAGAATTTGTTTTAGGAATTGTACAAGGAATAGCTGAGAGAACGAGATGGGTGTGAGTTCTTGTTGCAGGTCACAAGCATTGTGCAATGCATGGGCACTCATGGAGGGAAATTTCGCACTGTTTGTAAGAGAAGACAGAAAACCTTTCAGCTTTGTTTATGGCAGGTGAGATATTTGGTTGTTGGATTGCTTCTGAGAAAACAGCATTGCTAAAATGTGGCTGAAAATGCATCCTGGCATTTGCAAGCTGTTCTCTGTCACTTGTGGTTCATGGCTGAGAAATGAGCCGGGCAGGGCTTCCCAACAGGCACTTGGTGGCTCTGGGAGAACCCGTGCAGAACTCCTCCATGTCTTTGCTACATCTACGGTGCATCAAAGAGCGGTGTTTGCTTAGGGAACATCCTTTGCCGCACTGGGACTAAAGGTTGGGGCCAAGATGACCAGTGGGCATTTTGGAGAGGGCATTGGCAGACCCAGACAGCCCTCTCCCACTGGAGGGGGACATCCCAGCTGAGGTGCATCCCACGGTACCCCAGCCCCGCTGCAGGCAGCCAAAAGGGACAGCGCATTTCCATCAGTTAATTAGAAAACCCGTGGCGGTAGGATCCCATACTGCCGGGCTTTGAGAGCGCAAAGAAGCAGCAATCCCAGCTGCTGCGCACCAGCCCCTCTCACGCAGCCCAGCCGCAGAGCCAGGCCTCCTTCCTGCCACCCAGCCAGCTTTGATCTCCTGGTATCACACCGGCTCCGGCTCCGCGGGGCGGTGGAGGCAGCGGGTGCGCGTGGCTCGGGGCACGCACCTTCTCCGCCAGCCTACCATCCACGGCAGGGCACCAAGGCAGGGCCGGCCGACCAGCGCTTTAATTAGGAGGCTGGAATTATAATATTATGTTAAAGAACAAAGAGTCTCCGAAGGGAAAAAAAAAAAAAAAAAAAAAAAAAAAAAAAACAAAAAAAAAAGCCGCATATCTGACAAAGATAAATTGGATTACTCAAAATATTCCTGATGAAATGTTACATTTTGCAACTAATTATCAATCTGTTTTATCTCCAGACCAGCTGGGCATTTTTGTGCATGCAAGACCTGCCTTACCAATGATCTTAAGATGTCACTGTAGCGTTTACATCTTTTATTTCAAGATTTAAATAACTAGGAAGTAGCTAATGTAATTCACTGCTGAGAAGAAAGGCTAGTTTGCTGAATGCTTTCCAAAGTGATCTCCTCCTAATGAACTTCTTTGGACTGTGAGTAATGAGGCTTTATTCAAATAATCTTTAGGAAAAGAATATAGAATGTAATTTTTAAAGAAAGAACTAGGTTTTCTACGTTGAAAATATCTTTATTAATCCTATACTGCCTCATGGAGTACTAAAGCATTGTGACAATGTGGAATTGGATGCTGCTTTTGAGATTCGTGGGTTCTAGCTGCAAAGGAGCTCATAAATGTTCAGTGATAAGTTGCACATTACAGTCAGATGTGATTAAAAGCCTTTCTGCTGTAAAAGCATATATTGTTTAGGTATGTTAAGGTAATACATTATATATTCAGGGTTGTTTGTATCACAGGACGCATCTCACTCGATCCCCAGCCAGATAGCATACCTACCTACAGGCAGTGTGTTTTGCCTCCTCCATCACAACTTGCCATTTTGGACAATTATACTAATTAGGTTAATCTACTGGCGCCATGATATTTTCCTGTTTGCTTGATTCTGGATTGGTTTTGAACTGAACAAAGAGAAAATACCAAACAGCTCATTTCCATAGCAGATTCCTGCAATATTTCATACTCTGCCCTGGAGACTCCACGAAGCAAAAAGTTCTACTGGACCTGATCTGGTGAATATTGCTTCTATGGGACTGAAATAATAGGTCGGTCACAAAACATGAAAATATAAATTCTCAGAGTTGAGTTTTGATTGGCCAGTTGCTAGGAAAGGACAATTCTGAATGTATTTCACCAAACCCGTATGTTTTTTTAATCAACTAAAAAGAGTAATCATTAGGTGTGGAGTGATCTGATGCTTCAAAAAGGTTGATTGCACGGTGTCTGGGAACTTGAGTGATACATGGTATAATTATACATTTCTGAAGCTAGATTTATTTACAGTAGAGGATCAACTGAAAAAGGAGTTGTTTAATTCCAGAACTTTACATTTTTTTGCTCCTATTTCCCAACAGTTACATCTTGAACTCTGTGCTCAGCTTGCCAATTTTCCCAAAAGTAGGAACTGAATAACAAAACAGCACTCAATCTCTTGGGAAGGAATATCTATATGTTTTTTTCTCTGGGTATTTCTTTCTGGTTATTGATTGAGAGGGGAGTCCTGGTAGTCTTACACATGTAAGTAGTCCCTGCCCACACAGCAAGGTAGGTGGTTGAGCAGATCACTGTCCAGGAAGATGGATAAGTTCACGTGGGCTGCTGGGCTGTGTTTTGGGTTTGTGTCATCCAGGATGTGAGCTGCTGCTTCCCACTGACCTGGGCTGGAACACAGAAGGTTTCCTGCAGCCAGGTCAAAAACATCGAGCGTTATGCCCATGGCACATGGAATAAAACAACACCAATACACTCAACATATCATAGAATAGAATCAGAATCATAGAATTGCTCAGGTTGGAAAAGACCTTCAAGATAATCAAGTCCAACCGCAACCTAACCGTGCAACCCCACCAACCCACCACTGAATCATGTCCCTGAGCATCCTTTCTTGCAGAACAAACTGTGTCCTAACCAACCACATTAACTATTCAGAACACCTTCCATTCCATTACATAAACAAATGCTTTCTGCCCTTTCAATCAGCATCCCCCTGAAGCTGCTTCTTATGCCCTCCATCTTCCCATGCGCTATAGAGGCCTGATGCTGCCAGGGACCATGCACCTTTTGGGGTGCTTGGCACTGAAACACCCATGGTTGGTAGACAGCAGGATCTAACCCTTGCTTTGCACAAAAATCTCTCCGCTTGAATGTTTCATAATGTATGTTTAAATAGTCACAGCTAGCAAAGAACTTTGATGAGGCAAAGGGGTAATTGGATTTTCTTGTTCTATAATTAAAAAGGTATATATTACATCCACATTAATACCAAAAGAGTTCATCATGATCAATGTTATTACAACGAATACCAAAGGATTTAACAGTGATTGGCCACTTAGTTTAAAAGGTACCTGAAATCATTAAATTGTTTGCTGGAGGGCTTATGAAGGCCTATCGGATCACTTGTGACTACATTTTTTACTACTGGCCTGCAATGTAAGGTTTACTCTTTCAAAGTAGGAGCAACAGGATGATCATTTCCCTTTATTATTCCCTTATTGACTTCCAGTTAATTTTAATCTTTGCATTAACTGACCTCTATTAAGCATGCCATGTATCTGATTACTGTGTCAAGGTTGGGACCGGAAAATGACCTATAGCACCGTGTCAATTGTCCTTTGCAGAAGCCCTTACTGTTAATCAAGAGAGGGAGATTAGAAGAGATCAGAACCACCAGCCTGAAGAGCACTTTGCATTTGACTACACCTTTCTACCAGCCTGTGTGTTTCTCTTCTGATATCTCTGGAGGGAGAAGTTCTCCAGGTAAGGTTACGTCTGAATCTTACGTTCAAGATTTGCCACAGAATCAGTTCTAAATAGGTATAAATTAATTATCTCTCCGTATCTTGCTCACCTTAGCTGTAGCCAGCAACTCAGGCAGTAATGGGCTCTGAGCAGGACCAGGGGCTGTTGAATTCTTTGTGTTAAAGCAAAGGCACTCATTTTTATCCCAATGTGCATTCAAAACAGGGCTTTAGCAGGCTGCCTTCCTGCATAAGTGAGACTCGGAGCATAAGAATGATTTATGCATCCAGAATGTGTGATCCTTAAATACGTGAACTTGTTGAAATAAAAGCCAGTTTTTATCACAGTGTTCAGTAACACATTGCGAGGCTGAATGTTATTTTTTTTTCTGCTGTTTTTCACCTTACTACTTCCGGATATGCAGAGCTAGAACAATTCCAGAGAACCGTTTTTACTGTCATGATGAAAATGTAGAATAAAAGCAAATGAGAACAACATAATGCTACCTCCGCTTATTGAGATCACTCTCACTTTAATAACTGGAAGTGAAACTTAACACTGATGTTTGCAAATGCCTCATTTTAGAACAACACTCTGCTTCCCTGCAGACAATTACAGTCTTCTGTTTCTTGGCTCGCTTTGCTGTGAGACCACATCCAAAAAAAAAAAAAAAAATTCTTTGCAATTGCAGAATGATTTTCCTGAAGAAATGATCAGATGCGGCTAGGAAAATAGATTGAAGGAGTATTGGTGTCTAACCATAAGCCTGGCTCTAACCCCAACCACAAGGAAATGGGCACCTAAAGAAAATGGGGTTCTCTTGGTCCTAGCACCTCCTTGTGAGTCACGGTACTGAAAAGCTGTCAGGTCCTCAGCAGTCAATAATCAGAATACCTTCTGTTGGTGGTGTGTTGGAGAATTGCTTCCTTCTATTTGAGTGTAGCACTGGCTTTGTAGGCATGTTGTCACTGACAGCTGTTTTATTGATTTAGAGTTTTTCTTTCGAGGGCATTTTAGGGAACTTCTTCAGCTTATACAAATAAACTCCGTGGTCGCTCTTCTGAAAGGCCCTTGCATTCTTCATGATCATGTTCATTACTCTTCAACTCTTTGGAAACGCTTCTGGGATCACAAGGCACAGGTTGGTGGTGGTGGCTCTGTTGCAGGTGAATGCATTGGTATTTTCCTTGGTAGAAATGGGAAATGTTCCTGAGTGCTGCAGCCCAGAGGGATGATAAACAGAGTCAGTTTTAACAGTAACCAAAAGCATTTCAGACCTGTCTGAACTAATAGTGTAATTTTACTAGTAATTAGTGAAATTAAATGTTTTTACCAGTCGTGGTTTGATTTTGGGGTAATATGCTTTACAAATATCAAATGTTAAAATAATTAAAAATTTTGCATTTGTGTTTAATCTCTAGTGAATCTATGAAAAGAAGCCTCTACGCTGTATCAGATTCTTATATTAATTGACTGATAGATATTAAGACCTACTATTATGGTCATCCAGTCTGGCCTTCTGCATGAGCAGACATGGAATTCCAGCACAGTAATTCATGCTTTTTCAGAAGAAATCCATACAAACTACAAAACTTACAGGTAACTTTACAGTTTCAAAAACCTTATTAAATAGAAAATCTATAGAAATACAGAAGCTCCAGTAGAGCATGGAAAAATAAATTTTGCACAGGTACATTTGGAACAGAGTTATTGCCTGAACATTTGCAGTTTTGGTGACCTTTAGTGCTGTTAAAGGGGTGGGCATTAGATTGCTGGGTTTTTTTTCTGTTAGAGACAAGATAAAGTTTCTTGTGAAATTCAGACCACGTTATGAAGAAGTAACAAATATATTGTACAGTTTGTTTGGCTTTCCTGGGAGCTTGTTGGGTTTATTTTCAGTGTAGGGGATCCCAAGAGCATTTGGCTTTTATAATCAATTCTGCATGTACTAGCTAATTCTTAATATAAAAATGACTGTTGGCACATAATAATGTCAGTTTATTGGGATTCAGGTCAATAGCAGTATTTGCTTTCTGGATAGGAGAGTCACCTCCAAAATACTATGACATCCATTACAATTTGATCATTGTAATTTATGCATCCAAATTTAACAGAGTAAGATTAACAGAGCTCAGAAATGGTTCTGTTCTATGGTTAAATTCTCTTTGGAAAAATAGCTTTGTCATATAAAGGCCGCCATCTACTTTGACAAGGCAGAAAAGTTGCATCATTTTCCAGATATTTAAGGGAAACTGAGAAGGATTGAAAAAATCCCCACATATTTGTGAATCTTGACGACTTGAGTCACAGCTTATATATTTATATCTTTTAATACACAGGCCATACGCTCTTCCTCTTCTAAAACATAACGATGTATGCCTTCCTTCTCCATAAGATATGCCTTATTTTTACAAGTCTAACAGATGCACTGTGGCCAATTACAGGGCATCTTTCAGGCAGCCAGCTCTGCTTGTTCTAATCAACTTGCTGTATGAACGGGAGCACCAAGGGATTGGCAAGAGTCGGGAACAGCGTTTAGCACTTTGCTGACCTTGAGTCCACCTTTTCGAAACTCCTTCTGGAACTAAGATTTTTTCCAGCCATTTTCAAGTGATTTCTTCCACTTTCTCCTGAGACTAAGACACTTGATTGACCCATGATGTTAAGCGAAATTCTTTCACTGGAAAAGAAAAAATTGTGGATACTCCTAGACATGAAAATATTTGTGAACTCCATTTTGGTGGCTAGAGTTAATACCTTCAAAAAGGTTTCAAGGTATCTAACCTCAGTCTAGACAACCTAACAAGTATTTCCAAATTTTTTCATTGTGAAGTAAGACACAGAGGCAAAAGCACAAACATACGTATAAATACCTACATACTGAATTCTAAATGTATATTTTTCAGCTCTGTTTCAGCCTTGTAGATACTGTAATTGTGTATGTGTGTGTGATAACATTTTGTCTCATTTGAGTGTTGCTAATAACTGCCAAATGGCTGCCAAGAATTTCTGAGATTACACCAAGTAGAAGATCAAGGGGAGGGAGAAGATTTAAAAAACCTAAATAATAATAATAATTTAAAAAGCTTGATAGCTGAGATTATTAAAAATGATTCCTTCGTGTTCTTCTGAAAGAAAAATGAAACTGATGTTTGTAGCTGTGATACTAGATAAATCTCTGGCTAAGGGTACATACGTGCAAACATGATACCCCAAGGAGTTGTGGTGACCGTGTGCTAGGTATGTGAATGTGGGGAAAGTTTGCATTTGTCTTATAGAAGTCACAGCTAGGGCCCATATTTTTGCTTAAACCTGGTACATCTTGTGTGGCGTTGCACCACAAAGCAATGATCTCTGCTTTAAATTCCTGAATAACCCCAAATGGCAGAAATGACTCCCACGATTGATCTGGTTTCCAAAGGTGACATGAGAATTATTAGTGTCAATAAAGGAGAAGCAAGCAGAAAAAAAAAAAAAACAACAACAAAAAAACAGATTTTTCATATTCAAAGCTTAAAATAATTTTGATGCATGTACATATTAATTATTTGTTAAAGGACATCATCAATCAGTGCAGAAGTACACCAAAGACAACATTCTGTAGCAGTACCTTTGTTAGTAGCTGTACCACAGGCAATGGCAGTCTTTATCACCCTGCCAATTTACTCCCTCAGCCCATTGGAAAGGAAGGTTTTACTTTTGAAACTTAGCAAACTAGAATTTCCAAAGCTGTGCTTCAATCACATGGAAGCACAATTTTCAATTGCATTTTCTGCATTCTGGATATTCAAAGGTTAAGCATTCTCTGTACATTTACTCTCCTTGCTCTTTACAAATAGTCCCCTGGCACAGAAGCAGCATTTCCTTGTTTTTCTGTGCACAAGAATGTAAAAATGGACCAAACAATGAACGAATCTAACTTCAAGAGGAGCACTCACAAGGAGGACGCTTAGCATTTCACTTCTATTCACAGTTGTGTTTGAGATTCTGTATTTGTTTACTCTGAGTAATTATCTTGGCTTGACGGAGCTTTCCTTGTCAGGTATCCATCCCCCAGGCTTGCTTGCCCTCTGGGTACCAGTGAACTGTGGTGTTAATTTTATTGGTCATAGGGATTTCCTCCGTCTGGTCACTTTTCCATCGAAATAAACAACGTAACACCTAGGACCCTGTTCAACCCTCAGCTGCACAGACAAGATCTCTTCTGCAGCACATAAAATGCACTATGGCGTGTACAGTATGTGTAATTTACTTTTACAGGCTGAACTGTTATTCTCTAATCCCCACGCTCTGCCATGTCAGAAAGCAGGACTTGATGGTCTGTCTGGGTTTCCACGTTACAGAGGTGAGACAGAGGGTCAGTAAAACAAACAGATGAAAAGAAGCAGGCTGGAAAGTTGGAGAGCAGTTACATGCTATGGGCAGGTTCATGCTACCTGAGAGGAGGATGAATTTTATAGCTTAGGAAGCTATCCTGTATGCATTCCAGCAATGGAGTAGCATTGCAGTTTTGTGGCCACGTGGTACAAAAATCTGTAGCCTTTGGTATGTTGTTTAATCTGCTTGCTTGTCTATAAACTGTGAATATTGATTCCTATCTCACACCATCTCCTGTGAGGTTTAAAAGTTTATATAAAGCACCTATAGATCAGTGTACTCTGCTGAGGTGCTTTAGAAGTGCAAAGTACTTTTAAATGGTGCAGATGCATTCTGTGAAGGTTTGTATAGTGGGGTTAATTCACCCAGAGATTCACTACATTTTATGGGAGGGGTGCTTGGGGGCTTGCAACACTGCCTTGCAATGGAGCCAGCAGTTTTTACTTGAAAACAGAGCTGGAAAAGTCAATTCAGCTGTTGCTCAGGTTAAGGTGAATGTTGCATTGTTATACTTCTAGTCTCAATTCTGAGGAGCACTCCAGTTGAATACAGACCATATTAATGTGCATCAGTTATACATACACAGTCAGTCAATGACTGCATTGATCCAGTCCTGTGTTTTCTTTCAGAGGATTCTACAATGAGGCAATAGAAATCATTAAGACTTGTGATATTGAAATCCTCTTGGTGCAGGCAGACGTGCAGCTCACATTTCACATGGTGGTACAGCATCACTGTGCAGCCATGCTTAGAATTTAAAGATTTTATTCATACTTCTGTTGAGTAAGACTTTTTGTCCTTCTTCTTTCACTGAGCTTGTGTGTACAGAATTCAAGAGATCTCACAATGTTTCCCCCAGCTGTGTAACAATCTAATACTTAGTGCTTGTCACATCACTTTCCAAAAGGGGGTCAGTACGTAGTATCTCATCCATTTTCTCATGTGTTGAATGTGATACTGAGTATAATATAAAGCAAGTTTCTTGCTTTTGAAGCTCTATTTTTACTTACTGGAACCCATCGAGAAGGGTCCTAAAGATCCTTACATTTCCCTTGCAGGTTGAGTGTTTGGATAAGGATTACTACTTGATTAGGATACATAAGTTTGAACATATGTAAGGAGAACAACAAAAAGCTGCCTCTGAAGCATGGCAGAATACTTCCCAAGAGCTTAGAGCCTCAGAGCTATGTGGTTTTCCCTTCTTGAGGACTCAGAAGTCCTCAAGAAGACCTTCTCAGAAGTCATTACAAGCATTTTTGACTTAAAATTTTGAAACCTCACTATTTTGAAGAAGGTTTTGTTAATGGAAGAGTCTGGGCTTGCAGTATTGGTATCTTGTTCATTATTAACATTGTTAGTAACTATTTGATTTTCACAAAAAGTGTTTTGAGTACTTCTGTAGAAGGCAGCGTGGAGGCACAGAATCGAAATCAGCTCTTGCTCCAATCTTAGCACAAAGAGGTTTGTTATGAGTAGAAAATAGAGAGAAATGATGTGACACTTACTGGTTAACTTAATACAGACGTTTCAGCAGTCTGCAGACTCGTTACTGTCAAGTTCTTTAGTTCACTTCATAAAGGGAGATGGTGAATAACGATCTAGAAATGAAGAGCAGGAAGAACTCCGTTATAAAAGCTGCAGGCTTGATTCGGAGAGCAGGGCTAAGTAAGAAATGGTAGAAAACAGAGAGCAGATCTGAAGTAGAGGACTCTTGCTTACTCATGCAATAATGCTGCACGAAACACACTGAGTAACATATGCTAATAAATCTGTGTGCAGGATGCAGGGCTGTCAACAGATCACTCCAATTTGCAAATGTAGTTTGTCCTTGCAGGTTTTCTTCGCACCTCTCCTGGTGGCTGCAGGATTAAAACTCTAAAAAGAAATAAATTGAGAAATACCAACCCTCTTCCACCTTTACATTCCCTTTTGCAACATTCCAAAGAAATTCTCATAAGAAGAATGCTGCTGACTTGAGGGGTGGAAGAACTGGGGTGTAGGTGCTTTAGGAAATGTGCTGGGCTATGGGTAGATTATGAGGCTGATGCAGCTAATCTGGATATATTAGGTGCCAGTCTCTGAGGCCTACCCCACCTG